ATGATCCACACAATCAAATGCCTTTGCATAGTCAATAAAACACAAGTAAACATCTTTCTGGTATTCTTCGCCTTGAGCCAAGATCCATCTGACAAGCCACCAGAGAATGGTCAAAATTAATAAATTTATTTAATTAACTAATTTGAAATTTAAAAAATAAAAAATTACAAAGTGCTGGAGAGGATATGGAGGAACTGGAACATAAGATCTATATTTCATGTACTGCTGGTAGAAATGTGAAATGGTACAACCAGTTTGGAAAACAGTTTGGCAGCTTCTTAAAAAGTTAAACATATATCTATTGCATGACATAGCAATTCTACTTCTAGGTAGGTATTTACCCAAGAGAAATAAAAATATATTTTATATTCACACAAAAAACCTTTACACACAAGTTTATAATTACTTTATTCCTAATCACCAAAACCCAGAAACCACCTAAATATCCTTCAAATGGAGACTAGATGGTTACACACCCATTCAGATGAAAACTATTCATCCACAATAAGGGCCAAGTAACTGATACATGCAATGGATGGATTTCTAATGCATTAAAGTGAATGAAAGAAGCCAGACTCAAAAGGCCACATACTGTATGATTCCATTCATATGACATTGTAGAAAAAAGTTAAACTATAGGAATAGAAAGCAGATTAGTGTTTGCCAGTAGCAAGGGTGGGGGGCAGTTACCAGAAAGGGGCATGGTGGAATTTGGGTGAGGTGATGCAACTGTATGACCCCAGATGGCACAAAAAGAGCTCTGACAGTTTAGTGGGTAAGACATTTAGATGCTAACCAGAAGGTTGGTGGTTCAAACCCACCAGCTGCTCTGCAGGAGGAAGATGAGGTAATCTACTTCCATAAAAAGTTACAGCCTTGGAAACCCAATCAGGGTCGCTGTGAGTTGGAATCAACTTGATGGCAGTGGATTTGGGTTTGGGTTTTGGTTTGAATGGCACAAATGATCTACGCATGACTATTAAACTAAAAAGTTGGCAGTTCAAACCCAGCCAGTGGTGCCACAGAAGAAAGTCCTGGTGATCTGTTTCTATTCTATTCCATAACACATGAGGTCACCACGAGCTGCAACAAACTTGATGGCAACAAATTGCGTTTGGTTTTGGGTGAAACTGTGCTATATCTTGATTATCATGGTGGTTACATGAGTATGGATCTGTCAAAACTCCCACAACTATACAATAAAAAGGGTGAATTTTACTGTAAGTTAACTTAATCTTTTTAAAAAAGGGAAAACTCCGTGGGTACTCTAGGAAAGATTTATGCGATCACCTTGCAGACAGCAGATTTGGCCCCTAGACTACTCATGGATGTCTCACATAAGAGAGACATCAGGAGACAGTTTAGCCCCAAGGCCACTCTCCCAGCTGTCACTCTGCCAACAATCTGCTCAGCTTCAGTGTTTGGACAGCAGCTTCATCTGTCCGTCACTATCGAGCATGACAGCTGCTGCCTGGCCTTAACCAGTGGCTCCTCGCTGTCACCAACCTCGGGACAGTGATTGGGCTTTACCATCTTTAATCAGTTCTGACATCAGACTCAGAAAAGGAAGAACGAGATGGAGCAGAGGCGGCCAGATCTCCTCCCTCGCCTGCTGGCAGGCCGAGTGATGGATTCCTCACACTGAATCACCCAGAGTGATGGAGAACCAGACGTCTGGATGACATTCTGGGAAGTGAGCTCCTCCGCCACCAGCCTCTCCCACACCACGAGAATGGGTGATTGATAAATGTTTCCTTGGTACTGGCATTTGGAGTCACCAGAGATCCTTGCAGAGTGCTCGCCACTTTGATGTCAATCAGGATGCTCACTGAGGGGGATGCCAGGCTGATGGTCCAACTAACCTGGCCTGGGAGAATCAGGGTGGGAGGCAGGGGCCATCTCTCCATCCCTCCTCTGGACTGTGATGCTGGAAGAAATTGTGGGTGGATCCAAGGAGTCAAG